AGGGGGTATATATAAAGGAATAATCTTTCTCTTTATATAAAATTAATTAAATTTAGTAATAGTATAACTACTATAGCTATTAAGGATTAAAAGGTAATACTAGCCTATAGTTTTTAAAGCTATATATAGTTTAAAGTCCTCTTAAAGCTATTTAAGACCTATATTATTATTTATCTACCTATTCTTACTAGTACTAATAGTCTAATTCTTTAGGATCTCTCTATACTAATAAGATTAGTATTTAACCCTTACTATAATAAAATATAGTAGTATAATAGTATCTATAATATTAATTATAATAATTATTATTACCTACTCTTATTTACTAGGTTATAAAAGCTTTACTTAAGATCCTCTTATCTTTAATCTATAGATAACCTTAACTATAGAGGTAATACCTATCTAGAACCTTATCTATATTATAGATATCCTATTTAAGAATACTATACTTTTATATAGTATTTTAAACTAGCTTAAACTATCTCTAGATTAACTTAGGATCTTTTTATTTTATATATTAGTAGTTATATTTAGAGCTATATTTTAATTAGATTTCTAGATAATATTATATAAATTATATTACCTATTTCTTACTAATACTAGCTTATGGCTATTATAATAGCTTTAATTTTATAAAGTAAAGAGTTATTAAATACTATATATAAGTAATCTAGAGTAATAGACTATACTAGTCTATATCTAGAATCTATTACTTTAATATCCCTTCTTTAAGATCTAATAGTTTTTAAGAATTTATAATTAACTTAGTATAGGGAGTGACTCTATTAAGCTATATTATAAAGGTTCTTAGAGGTATATTATATATAGTTATATAATTAGTTTTCAAGTTAAATTAGCCTTAATAAAAAGCTTTAACTACTAATTTTATTATCTCCTCCTGAGATAGAGACTCTATACTGAATATATACTGAAAAAAAAGGCTTTAAGATATAGCTATAATAACTTAGGGGTAGTGGTAGTAGTGACTATATAGCTCAGTGTCCTGTGCAGCTCAGTGTCCGATTACGTTAATAATATTACTATTAACTATATTACCTTACTACTATACAGCTAATCAGTGTGATTAACTATTAATATAATAATAACTATAGGTTTAAAGGTCTCTATTATCTTAAATATCTAGGATAGTTAGAGCCCCTAGTATAGCTAAATTAAGTATATTATTATTAGTAAAGATATTTAGGACTATATTAATAATAAAATTATTAATAATAAGCTTCCTAATATACTAGTAAAGCTATAGGAAGAGGATAAGATTAAAGATTATATATATAACTACTACTTAAAGATATACTACTATATCGGAAAGGGTTATAATAAGGTTATATAGGTTATTTATAATATAGTCCTAATTTATAAATACTACTATCTTAAAAATAACATATTACTATAAATTACTTTAAGAATACTAAAAAGAGCTTTTTTACTATCTATAGAGGATTAGATTAACTACTTAAGATAGAAACATACTAAAGCTAGTAAGCTATTAAGATCTTATAATATTAATGAGTAGGTTAATAAGTAGATAAGAACCTATTATAAATATAGAAAGGCCTATATCCCTAAAGCTCTTAGCTATTAACTAATTAAAGACTTCCTTTAAGTAATTAAATTAATAATTTTTAGTATTTATAATACCTTAATTAGCCATTTTTTATATATAGAATAATATTAAAATAGATATAATTATTAATAAATTCCTAAAGTAGAAATAGGATTACTATTAAAAGAATCTAGCTAATACTTTTTCTACCTTTAAAGGTAATAAAAATAATAATTTAGCTTTAAAGACTAATAATGATAATTATAGTAATTAGAGCTATTAGAGGTAAAAAGAGAAGAGATCCTAGATTAATTACCCTTATAGAGTAAAATACCTCTTTAATAAGTACCTATATATTATTAAAGTAATTCAACTAGCTAGTTAGACTTTAAATCTAATAATTTAAGCTAAATTTAATATTATATCTTATCCTATAATCTAGTATATCATTAAGAAAGTAAGAGAGAGAGTATTAGTATTAAATCTACTAAATAATAAAACCAATACCCTATTATAAATAACTATAGCTATTACTAGGGTATTATCTTATAATATTAAGTAAGATATATCTTATTAAGCTAGTAAAGTATTTCTAGAATCTAATTTATAAGTCTTATTCTTTACTAATTATAAATGTAAGTTAGTAAAAAGCTTTATTTTTAACCCTAGGTTAAATGTCTATATATATAATGATTTTAGCTATTTTTATAAATATAAATATTATCTAGTAGTAAGTAATTAACTATATATTAATAATACTTTTACTTTAATATTAGGATATAGCTTAGTTACTATCTATTTAAGAAGTAAGTAAGGAGATCTCCTATACCTTAACCTTAAAAATATTATATATATTAAAGAAGCTAGAGTATTCTAGTCTCTATAACTTTATTATCTTAAATATATTAATAATATATTAATTTATTATATTAGAAAGCTTTATAAATAAAATATTATTAAATATATACTAATTACTAATATAAAATGAAGTACTTTTATAGTAAAGTATCTTTAATAATAATTATAAAGAGAAATAAATAATTAGGGTTAAGATAGCTAATTTAACTTAAGAATTTATTATAAAATATAAGAATTATATTCTTATAAAAATATAATATTAGATCTCTTAAAGGCCTAGCTATAAAGTAATATAACTCTTTAAAATAGTATATTTTAATATTATATAGATAAGTACTAGATATAACTTAGCTAAGTAATTCTCTTATTATGCTATAAATTAATAAGATAATATAAGGGTAAAAGCCTATATTAATAAAGATAATATTTATAGTAACTTTTTTAAGAATATTAACTTCTTTATAGCTATTTATATTAAGATTTATTATATAGATAGAGAAACCTTACTAGAAGAAGAATTTAAAGTAAGATAAAAAAGTAGAATATTATAATTATATATATAATTCCTAATATATTAGAGATAAATCCTTTTACTAAGTTAATTAGTAAGATAATTATTTAGTAATCTTATAAAGCCTTTTATAAGAAATTAATATTATTTTAACTTTATAATATATATAAAGCTTTAAAGGATTTTAAGATTATATAAGATAGCCTTAAGGGTCTAAATAGGGTATCTTATTGATTTTTAAGCTTTAAATATATAGAGAGTATAGATTCCTATTAATAAAAAGATTATTAATATTAGAGATATTAAAATTAATAAAACTTAGAGATATAACCTTACTAAGCTATTTCTTAAAGAGATATTAGTTAGAGAATTACTAATTCTATTATTAAAGATATATAATTTCTCTATATTTATTAATACTATTAAGATTAAAGATAGTAAGTTTTTCTTTAAAGATCTTATATATAAAGAAATCCTTAAAGTTATTGATTTATATAATTAGGATAATCCTATATCTATACCTTTAGATAAAAGAAAGCTACTAAATCTAGCTATCTTAAGTAATTTAATGGCTTTTTTAATACTAGAAGTAACTAAATTATTAAAGGATATATTAAATAGTATAGTTATTTAGATGCTTTCTAAAAATAACTCTTTCTATGCGAATTAAATTCTTGAAATTTTATAACAACTATAAGCTTTAACTATATTTAACTCGCTATAGCCACTACTGATAGAGACTAATTTTATTAGGATTACTAATAGTAATAGTAAAAAATAAGGAAATAACTCTAGTAATAATATAGACTACTACTATAATAGCTTTAGGAGGATTATAGTACTATATTACTAATATAAAGGATATATAAAATAGTACATAGTAAGTATATTAATATATAAAAAGCTATAAAAATAAGCCTCTCTAGAATTTTAAGCTATTTAGCTTTATCTAGAGGGTAGAAGACTTTATAATAGGTACTTAGAGAGTAGAAATAAGTATAGAAATTGAGATTATAATTCCTTAGTAGATATTTATAAGGTACTAGAGAAAATCTAGAATAATATTATATACCTTAAAGAAAAGAGCTTAAAATTACTAATTTAATAGCCAAGTAGAAAGCTTTTAGACTTAAGACTAATAATAAGATCTATAAAATATATTTATTCTATTATTTTAGGGGATTATAGGTACCTCTATCTTAAGAGTATTATATACCAAGTTAGGTATTAATTATATAAGATTATAATAAAGATCTATGATATAGTTATATAAGATAAGCTTTCTAAATTAGCCCTTATTAAGATTATTAAATAGGCTAAATAGACCTAAGATATAATAGCTAAGAAGTCTAGTAATCCCCTCCTTATAATATTAGAATTTATTACTATATACAATTACTATCTATAAATATTAGTCTTTAAGCTTATAGTACTATAGAGGTAGAGGTTCTCTAGAACTATATTAATAAATAGGTAAAGGTATTTAATATTAATATATATATTTAATAGCCATAAATTAATATACTTAAGATAAAGATATTAAGATCCTCTATATAAGGTAGTTAGTAAAGCCCTAAAAAGGTAAAAGAGAGGGCTTATTTATAATATAATTTATTAATCTTATTATTATAAACTAAGCTATTAATTACGGGATGATTTAAGAGACCTAGGTCTATAACATAATAATCTTTTATTAAGATAGGTATTTAAAGCTATATTAAAAGTATTAAAAACTAGAATATATATATACAGTAAACCACCGATATAAGCAACAGATCGGCGCAGACATTTCAGTTGCTTATATCGGTCAGTTGCTTATATCGATTTATATGGGTTCCGCCACTAATTAATATATACTTTAATATATATATATACACATTTAAACGCTGAAAAAGCTCTATATATTGCTCTGCTGCTGTACCTTCATTTTCCTCTGTAAATCATCTGTTTATGGTAAATAAGTTGCTGAATTAGGCCAGAATCCCCCCCTGCCTGCTGTTCTTTATATAAATAAAGCTTATATAGGCCCTCTAAGGCTTTAGATATTAGGATTTAAGGTAGTTCTTCCTAGGTCTCTTCTTTATTAGTATTATCCTCTTTAATAGTATTATTCTCTAGTAAATACTGAGCTAGGATACCTTTATCTATATCTATTAAATTATTATTAACCTCTTCTTTTATAGGGTTTATGAACTCCTTTAAATCTATTACTTCTCTAATATTATTAGATAGTGATATCTTTTTAATTCCTAGTAAGATATCTTTAATAACCTTAGAATTTAAGATTTCACTTCCTTCTTTATAAAGCACCTTCTTAAAGTAATTGCTTATTATATCTAAAGTTATATCTAGATCCTAAGTAGGAATTACCTATTAAATTACTTATAGAACTATTATTATAGATATAAGGTTAAATCCCTAATTAAACTAGACTATTATATAAAGAATCTATTATTACTTCTAATATACCTTCTATATATAAATAATCCCTTAATTAAGAGGCTGATAATGGCTTATAGAATCAGGAGGAAGCTATATAATTAGTATATTCTATAGATCTAAATAAATATCATTAACAGCCTTTTTATAGGCAGAGAAATTATTTATTAAGAGAATAACCTTTTAACCAGCCATTCTCCTATTAAACTAATAAAGCCACTCTTTAAAGATAATATTCATTATCTAGGCCTTCTTATTATAATACTAGAAGTAACCTAGATTCTCTATATTAATCTTAGCTACTATAAAGGCATGAGGTCTTTTTATAGGTCTAATAAACTAGATTAGGAGGCACTTAGAGGTATCTAAATTAATATAAAAATAAGCTATTATTCTAGCCTTATTCCTCTTCCTTCCAGGCTTTATATATATAGTTAAACTATAAAGCCCTTAATAAGAGAGAAAAGGCTTTAAATAATAGTAGGTATGGAGGGCAGCTTTCTACTTAGTAGAGATTAACTAATATATCCACTTTTACTTTATTATAATAGGTAAAGAGGGACTTAAGACATTAAAATAACCTATTTAGGAGATGGATATAAGTAATTTTATATAAGAGAAAGAGAGAATGGTAGTAACTATCTAATATCAGCATTCTAAGCAATTTAATATGTGGGATTAAAGATGACACGTCGCATTGTTGCTTATATCAGCGTTGCTTATATCAGTGGTTTACTGTACTTAATATCACAATAATAGATATATACAGTGAGGTGTACTGAGTTTGCGCCCCCCCCTTTTTTATCCGCGGGAGCCGCTTTTGATCAACCAATAATATTTCATTATTCTGCCAGTCTAAACCTCCAAAATCGCCTTTGCCCTAGTATTTTATATACTAGCCATCTGTGTTAATACACCCCCTACCAGACCGCCTCCGCAGACTGCCTACTTAGATAGAATTGTATTCTGTATACAACCAACATGTTAATTAAATATTATATATTATATTACTAATATGGCATGAAAAAGAGGCCTAAAACTATCACTATAAATATAATCTTAAATCTATAAGCTTCATTCTATTAGCTAGGGCATAAAATAAATTTATATAAAGTATCTAGAGTGGTTAATTAATATAATTAAAATAACTCTATAGTATAAAGCTATTTAGAATAATAATAAAATATAACTATACTCTAGCCCCCTATATAAGCTCTCTAAAGAGTAGAGAGATTATTTATATAATTATATAGTCTCTAATCCCTATATAAAATAGGTGGAACTACTAGATAAGGTAGATTATATTATTAAAAAGTACTTAATCTAGAAGCTTTTATATAAGATAGGATATTATAAATAGAAGTAACTTAAATACCTATTTCTCTATAAAATCTATACTAAAAAGCACCTTAAATAGGCACTTTTTTATATATATATTATACTCTAGAAGACTGGCTATATATCTAGTAGTCTAATAAGTATTCTATTAAGGAAGGTACTGATATATATCTAACCTAGACCTTTAACTTACTAAAGAATTAACTATAGGAGGGGGATATTAAGATAGTTAACTATAGAAAAGGAGTTAAGTAGATATTTTAGGCTACTTTTTAAGGAGAGACCTATATAGGTCTAGTACCTCTAGATAGTAATCTATTAGCTCTAAAGGGTGATATATCTAGGTTTATTATTTATACGCTTTACTATACTTTTTTACTAGATTACCTCTAACCTAGTAATATTCTTATATATAATAGTGCTAGTATCTATTAGGCTAATATTATTAAAGCACTTCTTAAAGACTTAGGTATTAAAGTTATAGTTTAGCCACTATATTTACTAGATTCCTCCCACTGTATATATAAGACCTATATAAAAAGATATCTTATCTAGAAAGACCTAAGTATATAAGGGTAGATAGTAATATTAAAGTATATTAACTATTATATAGGATACTAAATAGTTAGTTTAGTATATCCTTTAAAGAAAGAGTTAATAATTAAAGTAAAGGAAGTAATTAAAAATTATAAGCTATATTATTATATTTAAAAGTATTTCTTATAAAAGGATAATAATAAGTAACCTCTTATAATAGGGGTAAGTAAGTAGATTATATTAATAATAATTAATCTATTAATTATTCTAGTAGTTAATAAGCTAAGTAGTATTAGTGGCGGCCCGACCACCCACTGCCTCCGCTAGTGGGTGGTCAGTAGTATAAAGGAATTTTCAGTATAAAGGAGAAAAATGAAGCTTTTTATATTTTTACTACTAAACTCCTCTAGAATCTATGAAAGCTAATTAACTAATTCTCCAGCTAATTCTCTATATAAAGCTATAAAGTTATCTTCTTTAGAAGGTGCTAGTAGGAGATAGCTATATACCTCTTTATAAGCCTTATCTACTTTCTTCTTCTTATTTAACTCCTCTTTAGCTCTCCTATTAGTAATAGACTGATTTATATCCTATATAGTTAGTATTCTACTATCTCTAAGGTATTAAACCTCTTACTTAGTTATTCTATACTAGTAAGGTGCCTAGGATACCTTAATTTAGCTAAGAGTAGTATTTATAATAATAAGTTACTTAGATTAATATTTTTATTATTTAAATATATAATCTAGGCCATGCTTAAGCTATAGAGGGATCTCTATATTATTTATTAGATAGAATATCTTCTTATAATTCTTTTTAGCCTATTAAGAGCTCTTTAGAGGTGTGTTTTTAGTACTTAAAGATAGAGGATATAGAGAAGGTATAGTCTCTAGTATTAAGAGCTCTAAAACTAGTAGTAGATTATTCTAAATAGCTTTAATAGAAGAGCTATCTAGTAGGAATATACTATATTCTTTAAAGGAATTATAGATAATTTATAAGGTAAAGGTTATATAAGGTCTAAAGTAGAAGGAAAGGATCTTATAGGTTTTATAGAGTAATAGGAATTTAACTATTTAATAAGCTATATAGCTATTAAAGATAAGAATATATTTTCTCCCTTTTTTATATAATCTTTTATCTTATTATAGAATTTATAAAGCTATTTAACTACTAGCTTATTATTTATATAGCCTTTCTTAGAGACTATAGTATAGTAGTTTAGTAGCCCTTCTTTAAACTATAACTTTATAAATTTCTTACCTTTAAATATAAAAAGTAGAGTTATAATCTAACTATCTATAATAATATATTAAGTATAGTTATATTCTCTATATACTTAGCTTTAATAAGATTAAGGAGTTTCCCCTTTATATTAAGTACTTTTTATATCTTTCCTTAGCCTAGTTAAAAGCTATATTTATTAAAGTTATATACTAGATAAGTAAGGACCTAATAGAGTAAGCTTTAAAGCTAATTATACTAAAATTAAAGCTATCTAATATCCTCTACCTCTAACTACTTTTTCTCCTTTATTTTCTAGATTATTAGGTATAATTAAAGCTCTAGAGGAAGTCTTTTTATAATGTAATATACCTATAAGTAATTAATATATTATTTAGGATTAATATACTATATAGTAAGGTTTGCCTATTCTTAAAGTAGTATAATAGTAATAGGAAGGTATATATTATATATATAGATAAGCTATTTAACTAGAGCTACCTCTTAATACTAATTAAGCACTTTATTTATAAGGATTTAAGCTATATAAGGCTTTCTTTAATTATTAAGGTGGCTATATAGTATATAGTAATATAATTAGATACTAAGCTGCCACAGATACTAAGCTGTGCAGTAGGTAGTGGCCAACTCTGCACCCACAATTCCAATAAAATATAGTCTTATTTTAAAGCTTTTTATACCTATATATATGTAATATATTAAGAAAAAAAAATGCCTATTTAATAGGGTATTTTAGCTAGTTATAACCTTCTTAATTATAATTACTATAGCATGTAGTATACTATAGTTTTAGTCCTAATAATAGACCTAGTTCTACTTCCCTCTCTCTCTACTATTTTCTAAGTGTTATGGCACCTTTATCAGTGACTATATTAGGCAGAATAAGGTAGTTAAGGGAAACAGATATTCTTATTATAGAGAATTATAATTTACTATTATAACTCTCTTTATAGCTACTATTTAGTAATACTGCTATACTTATATAATTAACTACTATCTACCACTACTAAGGTATGGTATATAGTATATAACTACCATCAGGACTACTATTAAGATAGTATACTAGATAGTATATAGATAAAGGATATATAAGGATACTTATCTTATATACTTAAATAGTTCTTTATAATTAATAAAAGTTATTAATCTTATAGTTACTATTCTACTATTACTCTAATTATTCTACCTACTTATTTATATATCTCTTACTTAATTAAGAAGTATATATACTTCTTAGCCTTACTTCTCTCTTTAATTACTATACTATATTCTTAAGCACTATAGCTTATAGGAGCATCTCATTACTGTTAATGTCCTTGGATTAGGGTCATAGGTTAGTATTTCCAGGCTTGACTCATAGGTTACAGGTTAGGTACCATTATGAGATCCCAGGGTGTGACACTAAGCTACTTAAAGGCTAGTTAAACTTCCTCTATCCTAAATATAGTACTATAAGGCTTCTTACTTCTTTTTTTAATATATTTTTAAAGCCTAAAGCTAATAAAGTTCTTATTAAAGTAGGACTATACTTTATATTATAACTACTACCCCCTTTATAACCTTTTTAAGAGCTATTTCTACTATAATAGAGGATAGAGACTAGGCTTAAAGCTCTTTAAGCTACTTTTTCTATTAATTTAGTTAATATAGATTAGTAGGAGTATAGCTAAGATAGAAGGATTAGTTACTCCTAGCTATTAAAGGTAGGGTAGGTATATTTTACTTAATTTAAAGCTTTAAAAGTACTCTCTCTACCTTTAAAGGAATAAGACTAATTACTATAAATCCTAAAGCTA